CCATTTTTTTTTTTAATATTAAATTTTATTTTTAATATTCCCCCAATACATTGCAAACGCCCATTCTGACCCCAATCCTTCCCTCCCGCCCCCCACCCCCAAAAAGTGTCTCTGGTTCATAGTTTTTTTGTTGATTTTGATTTTCACTTTCTTATATTCATTTTCCTGGTCCCTTATTTAATTTTCTAGATTCCTGCTATGAGGTGAGACCATCCGGTATCTTTCTTTCTGGCTTATTTCACTGAGCATGATCCCTTCCAGCGCCATCCATGTTGCTGCAAATTGCATTGTTTATCTTTTTTGAATGCTGAGTAATATTCCATGGTATATATGTACCACATCTTCTTGATCCAGTCATCTATTTTTGGGCATTTGGGTTGTTTCCAAGCTTAGCTATTGTAAACAGTGCTGCTATAAAAATAGGGGTGCAGGTGCTCTTTGGAATTGATGTTTCTGTGTCCTTGGGGTAATACCTAGGAGTGGAATTGCTGGATCATATGGAAGCTCTATGTTTAGTAGGTCCAGAAATCTCCACACAGCTCTCCATAGTGGTTGGACCAGTTTGCACTCCCACCAACAGTGCAGAAGAGTTCCTTTTTCTCCACATCCTCGCCAACATTTGTTGTTGCTAGTTTTTTAATATTGCCATTCTCACTGGTGTGAGATGGTTCTCATGGTAGTTTTGATTTGCATTTCCCTGATGACAAGTGATGTTGAACATTTTTTCATATGTCTGTTGGCCATTTGCATTTCCTCTTCAGAGAAGTTTCTTTTAGCTCTTCTGCCCATTTTTTGACTGGATTATTTTCTTTGTTGTTGCTGAGTCTCATCAGCTCTTTGCAGATTTTTGTGATCAGTCCTTTATCATTAGTGTTGGGTGCAAAAATGTTCTCCCAGTTGGTGGGGTTCTCTTTGTTTTTTGTTATTGTCTCTTTTGCTGTGCAGAACTCTTTAATTTGATGTAGTCCCAGCTGTTTATCTTTGTCTTCACTATCACTGCTTTGGGTGATGTGTCTGTAAAGATGTCTTTGATGTGCAAATCACGTAGTGTTTTGCCTATATTTCCTTCTATGTATTTTATGGTTTCAGGTCTTATGTCTAGTTCTTTAATCCATTTTGAGTTGATTTTTGTGTATGGTGTGAGGTAGTGGTCAAGCTTCATTCTTTTGCATGTAGCGACCCGTTTTCCAGCACCATTTATTGAACAAACTTTCTTTGCTCCAATGCATAGTCTTTGCTCTTTGTCAAAGATTAGTTGACCATAAATCTGTGGGTTTATTTCTGGATTTTCTATTCGATTCCATTGGTCTGTATGTCTGTTCTTGTTCCAATACCATGCAGTTTTGATGATTATGGCTTTGTAGTATAGTTTGAAGTCTGGGAGTGTGATGCCTCCATTTCCTTCTTTTTTTTTCAGTAGAGCTTTGGCTATTCGGGGTTTTTTGGTGATTCCATATGAATTTCATCAATAATTGTTCTATTTCTTTGAAGAATGCCATTGAGATTTTGATTGGAATAGCATTGAATCTGTATATTGCTTTTGGTAGAATGGCCATTTTAATAATGTTTATTCTTCCAATCCATGAGCAGGGGATGTCTTTCCATTTCTTTGTGTCTTCTTCTATTTCTTTTAACAGTGTTTTATAGTTTTCTTTGTATAGGTCCTTTACCTCTTTTGTTAGATTTATTCCCAAATATTTGATTTTTTTTGTTTCGATAATAAAAGGGTGGTTTTTTTGATTTCTTCTTCTTCAGATTTATTGTTTGTGTATAGGAAGGCTACTGACTTTTGCGTGTTGATTTTGTATCCTGCCACTTTACTGAATTGATTGATGAGTTGAATTAGTTTTTCTGTGGAGATTTTGGGGTTCTCTATGTATATTATCATATCATCTGCAAATAGTGATAGTTTGACTTCTTCTTTTCCTATTTGGATTCCTTGGATGTCTTTCTCTCGTCTTATTGCTCTGGCTAGGACTTCCAGTATTATATTGAAAAGCAGTGGTGAGAGTGGACATCCTTGTCTTGTTCCAGATCTTAATGGAATTGCTTTCAGCTTTTCACCATTGAGAATGATACTGGCTGTTGGCTTGACATAGATGGCCTTTATGATGTTGAGGTATGTTCCTTGTATCCCAAGAATTTCAAGGGCTTTTATCATGAATGGGTGTTGCACTTTGTCGAAAGCTTTCTCAGCATCTATTGATATTATCATATGGTTTTTATATTTCTTTTTGTTGATGTGTTGGATAACGTTGATTGATTTTCGGATGTTAAACCATCCTTGTGCCCCTGGAATGAATCCAGCTTGGTCGTGGTGAATTATCTTATGGATACATTGTTGGATTCTGATAGCTAAAATTTTATTGAGGATTTTTGCATCAGTGTTCATTAGGGAGATTGGCCTATAGTTTTCCTTTTTTGTGTTGTCCTTATTCGGTTTTGGTATTAGTGTAATATTGGCTTCATAGAACGTGTTTGGTATTGTCCCTTCCTTCTCAATTTTTTGGAAGAGTTTGTGAAGGATAGGCACTAATTCGTCTCTGAATGTTTGGTAGAATTCATTTGTAAATCCATCAGGTCCTGGGCTTTTGTTTTTGGGAGGTTTTTGATTACCATTTCAATTTCGCTGCTTGTAATTGGTCTGTTTAGGTGTTCTATTTCTTCTTTATCTAGCTTTGGGTGATTGTAGAGTTGTAGGAATTTTCCATCTCCTCTAGATTGTTGAACTTGTTTCCATATAACTGTTCATAGTAGTTACTGATTATTCTTTTGATTTCTGCTGTGTCCGTTGTGATTTCTCCTCTTTCATTGATGATCCTGTGTATTTGTGCTTTCTCCCTTTTTTCCTTTGTGAGCCTGGGTTTGTCTATTTTATTGATTTTTTCAAAGAACCAGCTCTTGGTTTCATTGATCTTTTGGATTGTTTTTTTAGTTTCAATTTCATTTATTTCTGCTTTGGTTTTTATTATTTCTTTTCTTCTACTGGTTTTGGGGTTTTTTTGTTGTTCTTTTCTAGATCTTTGAGCTTCGAGATTAGGTTGTTTCTTTGAGTTCTTTCTTGTTTTTTGATGTGAGCTTCTATTGCTATATATTTCCCTCTTATTACTGCTTTTGCTGCATCCCATACATTTAGGATATTGGTGTCCTCCTTGTCATTCAATTCAAAGAATTTTTAATTTCTTCTTTGATCTCCTCGTTAGTCCAGTGGTCTTCCAGTAGTGTGGCTTTTAATCTCCATGAGGTAGGATAGTTCCTTGCCTTCTTTTTATGATTTATTTCTAGTTTGATGCCTTCGTGGTCAGAAAAGGGTTGGTATGATTTCAATCTTGGTGTATCTGTTGATGTTTGTCTTATGCCCCAGTATGTGATCCATCCTGGAGAATGATCCGTGTGCGCTTGAGAAAAATGTGTACTCCGTTTTTTTTGGGTTTAGTGTTCTATAGATGTCTGTTAAGCCCAAATGCTCTAGGTCCTTATTTAGAGCTTTAGTTTCTTTACTTATTTTTGTCTTGTTGATCTATCCATTGTTGATAGTGGTGTGTTGAAGTCTCCCACTACGTATGTGTTTTCTCTGATGTCTGTTTTCAGAGAGGACAACAGTTGTCTGATATATTTTGGTGCTCTTTCGTTTGGTGAGTATATGTTAATGAGTGTTATTTCTTCTTGAAGTATTGTCCCCTTAATCATAATGTAGTGACCATTGGGTCTCTTTTTATTTTTTTGAGTTTGAAGTCTGTTTTATCTGATATAAGTATAGCTGTTCCTGCTTTCTTTTTTGCCCATTTGCTTGTAGGATTGTTTTTCCATCCTTTGACTTTGAGCCTATTTTTATCTTTTGTAGCTAAATGTGTTTCCTGGAGACAGCAAAAGGTTGGTTTTTCTTTCTTAATCCAGGCTGCAACTCTGTGTCTTTTTATTGAGAGTTTAGTCCATTTACATTTAGAGTTAATATTGATATGTTAGCATCTGTATTTGCCATTATGTTTTTTTTTCTTTTGTTTTTTTTTTTTTTTTTTTTAATAACTTTTTTTTTTTTTTTTTCTTCTTTCGTTGTTATTCGTCCCTCTGAGGTTCTGGCTTTAGGATTCCTTGTAGTATTTTTGGAGTGGGGGTTTAGTCGTAATGAAATTCCGGAGTTTCTCTTTGTCTGGGAAGGTCCATATTTTCTTCATGGAGGAAAGAGAGCTTTGCGGGATAGAGTATTCTTGGTTGGCATCTGTTTTCTTGGAGTCTTGGACTATGTCCCTCCACTCTCTCCTTGCCCGTAGTGTTTCTTCAGAGAAGTCTGATGTCAGCCTGATTGGTTTTCCTTTGAATGTTATCTGTTTCTTCCCTCTTGTCAGCTTCATTATTTTTTCCTTGTCCTGGATTCTTGGGAGCTTTACTATTATGTGTCTTGCTGTGTTTTTCCTTTCGTCGTGGAAGTTTGGTGTTCTTCTTGCTTCTTGTATGTCAATTTTCAGCTCCTTCTTCGCATTTGGGAAGTTCTCTTCAATTGTCTCCTGGAATATTTTCTCTGTTCCTACATCTCTCTCCTCTCCTTCTGGAATTCCTATAACTCTTATATTTCCTTTCCTCATGGAGTCAGATAGTTCCCGAAGTCTTTCTTCATTCTTTTTCCTTCGTACTTCTCTTTCCTTTTCTGTTTTGGTTCTTTTTATTTCTGTGTCTTCAAGAGAACTTATTCGTTCTTCCATTTCATCTATTCTGCTTTCATTGCTTTTCCCAGAGTTCTTTAGTTCCTCCATTAATTCTTTGATCTCCTGCATTTCTTTTACTTCCCTCTTTAGGACTCAATTTCATTCTTCTGACCATTGTTTTCCTCTTTAGGGACTCAATTTCCTTCTTCTGATCTATCACTTTTTTAATCATGGCAATTTTAAATTCTCTTTCTGGAAGGCTCAGAAGTTCTTCCAAGTTGCTGTCGTTGCAATCTGGGGAGTGGTTTTCTTTTTGTGGTGTGCTTCTTTCCTGAGGAGTTGTTAGGTTGCGTGTGGTTCTTCTACTCCCTACTGTCTGTTTTCTAATTTGTCGTATGCATTGGGACACTGTGTTGCTCAGGCTGACTGATATCTTGGGTGAACTTCTCCGCTCCCCTCTGGCTCTTCCAGGAGCCATCTCTGTCTTCTGGGGGAGCTTTCTGCTGTTTTTAGGCAGTTTTTACTTAAGAAATGTCCCTGTTCTAAAATGGCGAAGCGGGATGCAGTCCCTGCGCCTCCAGTTTCAGGCACACTCTTCTGCGCACCCGGTCTGCCCCGGACGTGGGTGCCTGCTCCCTCTGTGGGCTCAGACTGCTGGTCGGAAGGGGCCTGGCGTGGAATAACTTCCCGGCTGGCCACTGGTCCTCCAGAAGCCTTCTGCCCTTTTCAAGCAGTCTTAAGAAATTTCCTGTTTTATGGGGTGTTAGTGACTTTTTTTTCCTGGTCGCTAGGTGGCGCCAGAGATCTCTCCTATTGTCCTTGGGGGGCTGTTTTTCGCCTCCCCCCACTCCGTGGGACAGGGAACAGAGCGGGAATGGTAGGGTACACCTCAACAGCTTTGGGGTGCTGTGTCTGCCTTGTGCCCCACACCCCGAATTTTCGTGCCCCGGGTCTCAGTTCAAAGCCCTCAGTTCCAGGATGCGGGCTGTAGCCCAGTTCAGTGGCGCGGGAATGGCGCCTTTTGCACCGCTCCCGTGCCTGGGCGCCTGGTTTCTGCTTACTCAGGGAGGGACCTTCACCTCCGTGAGGACCTCTGCGCGTCTCCCGCAAGCCTAGGTCGTCTCCCCGCAAGCCTAGGTCGTCTCCCCGCAAGCCTAGGTCGCAGGCGCGGGGACCTGGGCAGCAGCGATCCCGGTCTGCACTTGCTTTTCAAGCGCGCCGAGCGCGCCACTTTTCCGCGCCAGCTTACCGGCAGCCCGGGCTGTGTGCGCGTCTCCCGGGGTCTTTGTTCTTCTCTAATGGCGCCTGGAGCCGTTCGCTCACCGCCGCGGCGAATCCTGCAGGGTTCGCCTCAGCTCCCGTTCACGGGGTGTGGTGGCTGCAATAGTTCCTTTCCACTCACAGTCCCGCTTGCTGCGTCGTTTCCTCTTGTTGGTCGTTTTAGTGTGTTGTTTCCCTCCTCTCTGCCGGTCGGAGAGTGCCGCCTCTGTGGGCGGGGGAGGGGAGCAGGGTTCTGCGCTTCCCTCCCTTCTAGTCCTCTTTTATGGCCACTTTCTTCTTCGGGTAGTTTGCTGGAGTCACCCGTTTATCTTCCGTGTCCCGGTTCTCACTGGGACCTGCCGCTTTTCCTCCCTATTCACTTTTTTTAATGGGAGATCTTACTGGCAGCGTCTCCTCGCCGCCATGTTGCTCCGCCCCCTTGTTCCCATCTTTTTAAAGATTATTTGAATCAGATCCAGAGTTTTAGGCACTTCATTGGCTATATATCAGGTCTTTACTATATATACTTCTTTTTTGTTCCTGCATATATTTATTGAAGAAACATTTTTTGGATGTATAGTATAATATACTAAATTTACTATTTTTTAGATTTATTTTTATGAAGCCTTAATTTTCTTAAAAGGAGTCATTAAATTTTGTTACTGGTTTTTGTGTTTTATTTTTAAAGATTTATGTATTTATGCATATAAGAACTGGGGTACAGGCCAAAGGTGTGGGGGGAGGTGAGAGGCTTCACCAGAGACAGAGTGGGCAGCAGAACAGGTGGATCTACTGAAATGCACTGCTGAGGGGAGTAGCGGGCGAGTCAGGGGAGGTCTACTGTGCCATGTGGGTAGCTCCCTGGCCAGGCATCAACTTGTTCTGCAGTGGCTGCAGCTAACTTCATAGGTAGTGCCTTAACCCCTTGTGCCACCAGGGAGGTCCTAAATTTTGTTATTTTTAAGAATGACAATCTACTTTGCTACTATCATAGCAAATTTGCAGAACATATATATTAAGTCATATTGCTTACAAGTCTTGTTTGCTTTGAATCATAAAATTTTTTGCATCAGGATTTAATATAATTATCTAATTGTAAGTTATGTACGTTCATCAGTGTTTACCCTTTTTCATTAAGTGATGAAATAATATTTTTCCCATAGCATATTGATAAAGTATTCAAGCATAAGGAACTGCAACAGCAGCTTGTGGATGCCAAGCTTCAGCAGACAACACAGCTGATAAAAGAAGCTGATGAAAAGCATCAGAGAGAGAGAGAATTTGTAAGTTTTTTTTCTTAAAAAAAATAGCATTGCCAGAATGTAACCCAATTTAAAACATTTGATTACTATGTTCAGTAAATGTTCTAGTTATTTTGCAAGTTAGGCCTTGAGACCTTGAAGCATTTAAATTTTGCATCAAATCTACCAACATAGGTCTTTGCATTCTCTTCTTTTTCTCTTAATAAGTAACATAAAAATAGACAAGCATACCACCCAGGTAATGAATGTCAAGATCCCTAGCCCTGTTTTCTGTTTTTAAGTGTAGACACTTGACCTTTTTTTAACCTTAGACAAACCAATTTAATCCCAAATTTAATCCCAATCTTATATAATCCCAATCTTTATTCCCAAATTTAATCCCAATCTTATATAAATACCTTTCGTGTATTTTTCCTCCTTATACAGCTAAACGAATATTCTTAAATTCCTAAGTGTTAACAAGTGGTACAGATCAAAGAAGTACTTGGTTATTGATGTAATAAGAGGAAATTAGAGATGGGAGTTAGAGATGGAAATTACTCCTTGGTGGTGTAATGCATACCACTGTTGACTTGCACTAAACTCCACAATGTGAAAAATTTATTTCTTGAAACCCAGACTTAAGCATTGACTAGTACTTCTCATTAGATAAATAGAGGAAACACTAACCCTAAATATCTGGTAATGTGGTATTTCAGGCGTGTGTATAATTCCTTTCAGTAATTTGCAGAATATTTTTTATTTTCAAGTTATTAAAAGAAGCAACAGAATCAAGGCAAAAATATGAAGAAATGAAACAGCAAGAAGTGCAATTAAAACAGCAGGTAACTTTACAACAGATTTTAATTAGAATTTATACATCTCCTTGTGTGCTGCAGAACTTCGGGAGAATAGGTCTTTTGTCTTCAGTGTTTCCTTTTTTTAAAGATTGACTAGGTCTTTAATAGACTTTAACTCTGTTAATCCTATGTCCCAAGAAACCCATCAATTTCAGAATGATACAGGAGACTAGTCAACTTATCTTCAGTGTCTCTACCATTTTGAATTTTGTACTGTAAGGAAAATGGAACAGGGAAGAGATGCATATTATGCTCTACACGGAGTTTGAAAAAAACATAATATGTTTTACAAGTCAGCTTCTAATTAAGTTTACCTTTTTTCCAAAAGAATTGAGGTTCTTTTTTCTTAATCAATTCAGATGTCTTTTTGTTGTCTATTTTAATCTTATTTAATTGCAGTATATGAAATGAAGTACATGCTATTATTAGTACTTAAAAAGCAGAATATATCATACCTCCTGTCTCTGAAAGTTTAATACCTACTTAATTTTTTTAAAGATTTATTTATTTATTTATTTATTTATTTATTTATTTATTTATTTATTTATTTATTATTTATTTATGCAAGAACCGGAGTACAGCCAGATTCACGGGAGGGTGAAAGGATTCACCAGAGACAGAGTGGAAAACAGAACAGGCAAACTGAAGAAATTCACTGCTGAGGGAAGCAGTGGGCAAGACAGGAGAGGTCTGCCACACCATGTGGGACCCTCGCCCAGCTGGCCAGGGTCGAACCTGTGCTGCAGAGGCTGTAGACAGCTTCACAACGCTGCACTCAACCACTGGGCCACCAGGGGAGGCCCGTACTTAATTTTTATAAATGAGAATAGTTGGGTTATTTATGCAAAAAATTTATGTTCCTTTAGTGAACTGGAATTTTGCGTTGATAAAATTTTACCTTTTATGTTTATTATATAATACTTAATGTTAGAGATTTCTTAATTAGCTGTGAAATACATTGTCATATACATTAATACATTCATCATTAACAACCTTTTTGAGTCCTGTTTGTCTTTGGAAACATTGTTTAACATACAACACTAATAAACCTAGCCTAATTTACAGTGAAAATTGAAGAAGAATCAAATACCAGAAGTCTTTTGAACTTTTACACTGTAACTTGTAATCCTTCTAGCATGCTTCTAGAAAATTGAAATACTTTTCTAATTTTCTAATTAGCCTGTGTATTCAGAGAATGGAGAAGAGAATGTATGTGTGTCAAGAAGGAATGGCTCTGGTTATGTCCTTCAGTATGGAAGTCAGTGGTAATTTCTGTAATATAAATCAGCAGAAAACCAAGCTTATGGACCAGCCTAATCCTACTGTACTTTTAACCAGTATAGCTAATGTGATTTCATCAGTCTTAAGTCTTATTTGATTATTAGTATGATTATTCCCTTGCTGTTGCCTTCCTTTCCTTGTTCCTTAAATGTGATTTTCCTTTTAATGTTGTTCTCATTCTGTTCTATTCCTTTGTCAGTTTTCAGCATTTGTTGAGGATATTGTAGTTTTACTGTCTTGTAAAACTATAGCCATTTAGGTCCAAATGGGATGGTGGTTACTAGTTACTATCTAATGTGGGTTATTATTGAACTTTGAGTTGGGGACAGTCTGCATTGGGGACAATCTGCTGGGATGCTCCATTTTCCATTAGAGAGGACCATTTCCAAGCTACTTTGAATTCTCAGTTTCCTTAAGTACCTGAGGACTCATTTTTTTGAACACTGCCATTCGTTGTTCCCTACTTCAAGCCTGCAGCCATTCTTTCCAGGTACTGTCAGTTTGTGTACCCCTTATAGGCTGCTATATCTGCTGCCTTCTTTCCTTGGCCTATTAACATCTGTTCATCCTATCTTTGTTCTTGCCTTTCTGCAGGTGTGGTTTGTCCTCTTAAAGTCATCTCATCTAGTTAAAACCATTGGTAATCTTACTTTTATTCATTTTTCCTCCCACACATAGCCACACTTGCTGATAACTAGAGGTAGATTGGCCCCATTCTGTCACATTTTCTTACCCATTCTATCCTTTCTTTCTCTTTAATATTCCTAACATAGTTGTTGTGAAAGTAGATAGGCATCACACTATTTCTTGGCCTCTGATGATCTTTTATTTTTCTCTGCTTTTCTTGGACAAAACACTATTTCTGCTCATCCTGATGGTATTACTAATATATTATATAGGCTTTAAAGTATTTCTCCTTGCTCTAAATAAAGTAATTCAGCCAAACCTCAGACTTATCTCTGGATACTAGCACATGAAACTTACCTATTCTTGATATTAGTAAGCCACCACATCTCTGAATTCTTTCTCCCAACCCCTTTTTGAAATTCATCTCTAACATGAAGAAAAATGAGATTGCATTTTCTGCATTAAATTTTGACATAATCGTGTTAGTGTTATTTTCCAAGCTAAATTTAAAAATACTAGGGCGGATGGGAGTTAACAGCAAAAATCAGCACTTCAGCACTTTAAATTACTCCTTTTTTTAAGTGTATTCCCACTAAATTCTATTCCTCCAATCAAATCATCTTTGGCTTCTGTTTAATTTTCTTGCCTTTGTTAAGGAAAGACAAAATCTTGACCTAAGCCAAGAACTATTCATGTACTACTCTAAAGGAACTGCCTTTTTTCCAAAAACAGTTTTTTAAATGTGAACAAAGAGGGTGGTACATAAATTGTATGAAATTAATAGTTACACTTCTGTGCTTTAATTTTTTTATAATTGGTGAAATAGAGCTGTATTTGTACATTTTGAATATTTCTGCTTAAAATGATTTAATCACCAGAATTTCTAACTTCAGTGCAGTTTAATAGGTTTCAAGAATTTCTGCTTTCTTTACAAATTTGTTTTTTGACTTTAATAAGTAATTAATGTTATATTTAACCGTATAGAGAAATTAAAACTGCTATGAGGAACTCAGGATAATTGATACTTTTTTCTGTAGCTTTCTCTTTATATGGACAAGTTTGAAGAATTCCAGGCTACCATGGCAAAAAGCAATGAACTCTTTACAACCTTCAGGCAGGAGATGGAAAAGGTATTACATTTGATAAATAAAATATTATTACTAAAACTACATGAGGTTATTCTAATACTTGAATGATACTAATTTGATAGTGATTATTATTTTTTTAATCCTTCACTGACCTTTAGGCATTTTATCCTGAAATTATAAATAATATTGATATTCAAAATCCTTAAATTATTAAAAAGAATTTCTATATTAAATAGTTTGTTGTTAGAAACAGAATTTTTTTTTAAAAAATCACTTCAGATGGTTGATGTCTCCTCAGTTCCTATAAGCTGTTTTATAAAGGGATATTTTACATGATTTTGTTCTCTAATATTAGCTTCCAACTGAGCCATTTCTGATTATTTATAATAGGGTTTAGTAAGTTGATGATCTGCAATGTTTAAAAAGCATTTTTGAGTTTTGTTTTAAGCAAATTCTGGCCTATCTTGTTAAGGAACTTAAAAGTGAGGGATTTCTAATTACCCTTGTTTTTTTTAGTCCAAAGAGAAACACAACTTGAATGGCCTTTTTATGACATAAACATGGACATAAGCAGTATCCCCTATGCAGGAGATATTGTTGTCTAACAGAAATTTTAAAAAATTACCCTCAAATTTAGTCTAAGAAAGAAATGATAGTAACTATAAGGGAAAGGGACTATGTTTTAAAAAGCTGTTTTAAAATATAAGGACTCACTTGTGTTCCTCCTTTTTGAGTAGGTTACAGTTACCCACAGTTCATCAGCTTTCTTTTTTCCCCCTTTTTTAAAAGATTCTCTAGATTCATAAAAGAAAGATAAAAAAGATAATAACTAATAATCAGATATGTATTTTCTGCTTTTCTAAATTTAGCTCTTGGCCAGCCATATAGAGCGATCTGGGAGAGCTAACTTTGGTAAGAATTCTGACTTATTTCCGTTAGCTCTCCACAATCTTATTTACAAGCTCCATGTAGAATATGATGTCTCAGATAATCTTGGTAATGTTACAGAACTGTGGGGAGAAGCAACCTGTGTTCTACAATTTGGCTGTAAACCATTTAAATAAAGTGCACATTTTAGAGTGGCCTGCCCTGAGCGGAAAAGATACATATAGCTGGTCAAGACAAGTGCTGTGATGAGAGAAGGGAGAAACATTTTAAAATGTGCATCTGAGAATTAAACTTAGAATTTAAATTTGTGTTTGTGTTGATTCACAGATGACAAAGAAAATCAAAAAACTGGAAAAAGAGATGGTAATATGGCGTACCAAATGGGAAAATAATAATAAAGTACTTCTGCAAATGGCTGAAGAAGTAAGTTTTTATAGAATTTAATAGTGAACTCTAATTTAAGAGTTGGTAAGATAGATTGGAATTTCTAGAGATTTGCTAAGTAACTGCAGGGTTGATTAAATGATCTTTTGCCTGTAGAAGGCTAGGCTGTTTGAGTGACTTATTTAGATTTCTTCTCCCAACTAGCTTCAGGTTTTGTTATAGACAGCTACAATGAATCTAGATTTTGCTTCTTATTGCAAACTTGAGTTTAAACTAAATCTTGTTAAAACTGATATGCTGATTGTTAAAACTGATATTTTTTATTCTTTTGCTCTGAGGAATGATCTCAGAGTTTGCATTTCTAACAGATACTGTTATGTTAATGCTGCAGGGCAGGGTAGAAAGCCATACACAACTTGAGAGAACCTAGTCTTCACAATATACATAGTATCCTATGTTCTAATTAATTTCTTTTGGAGAGAGTACCAATGTATAACTTGATTGCTTCCCTATCTTATTTTTAGAAAGACAACAAGGTACTATTTGTAAGGGATATTAACTTAAGTTGAAAGGTATTCTATTTGCAGTTATAGAACTCTCATTTTCATAAACTTCACAGGACTAGTTTATAATATCTAAGAGGATAGGATAGAGCGCAAGAGTAATAGAAAGGACGAAAAATCAATTTATGAGCAAGAACTTATATTAATTTATGAGCAAGAACAATATATTTTTATTCCTATGATTTTAAGTGATGATCCTGAATTTCCAAAAACTTTAATAGGTCAATATAATACTTTAAATAAAGTTAAGAAGTGAATTTTGTTGATTTTAAAGAAATAAATATAACTCAGAATAATTATAACTTTTCAAAATGCAGTTCAAGTATTGTCATTTCCACTGTGTCTCAGATTAATTTTTTATGTATGAACCTAATTTGTATTTAACAAGGTTACATATATCCTGTCTCTTTCCGTATCTTCCTCCCTCCCAGAAAACTGTCCGTGATAAAGATTACAAATCCTTTCAAATAAAGCTGGAACGACTAGAGAAGCTGTGCAGAGCTTTACAGATGGAAAGAAATGAGCTCAATGAGAAGGTGGAAGTCCTCAAAGAGCAGGTCTCTATTAACACAGCAGATTTAGCAACAGCTGTGATAGAACCGTGTAGTGCCCTTGCTTTTCAGAAAGAGTTAGACACTTACTCTAAAAAAGGTGGACAAATCTGCCTAGAGGTTGAGTCTAAGGGAGTAAATGAAACGAAAAGCAATTCAAAAGATACTTTTCATGCAGTGTCTTCGGGGCACTGATTTCAGTTGACTAAGATGAAGTATGATTACTGGATTGAGAGATATATTTTGTGTGTAATTTTTCTGTAGTAGTTCTGTTGCTTTTAAGATGCAAATTTTCATACTTTTTCTACTATATCTTGTATTTTCTTGGAACTACTGACCTTGTGGTAAAGGAAGCTGCTTAGCAGTTCTGCATTGTTTTATTGTATACATTTTCTGTAGCTGTTTTACACATATGCCTTACTTGCCTCTTTATTGGAATGTACATGTTATTGCCTTGCTGTTTCAATGTATGTTTGTGTCCACTGCTTTATTCTTGTCCTTCCATAAACTTAACATAATTAATGGTTCTTTGATATAAAAACTTATAGTTTAGTAAACTTCTAGTCCATCAATATAAAAATGAGGAAATACAAAGATGGTTAGTTTGTTTAAATACCAGGTGAAAATAAAACTTTATATGAAATATGAAACAAGCTTGGTACATTTGGTTTAAATTAGATTTTGCTAATGTTTCCATTTCTTGACAAATTGAGATGACTACCTGTCTTGACTCAAAGTTGTGACAGAATATGTGTATGAAGGTATCATTTGTAAAGAAAAAAATACATGCAGAGAAGTCACTGGACAAACAGACTTGAACAGATATTTAAAACAAAAAAAGTTTTAGATCTCTACATTTAGAATGGGGGAATTTCTGAACTTTTCAGTTTCATTCCTTATTTTGTCTTTACTATTTTAACGCTTACTCTTGTTTAAATTCTCTCACAATTATGATCTAAAGTATGTTCAAAATTATCTCATAAGAGCCCAGAGTATGAAATACTTACAAACTTCCACTACTGGTCGTGATAATAATCAGGGGGCCAAGCGATAAAGAAAAAGAAATTTGTATGAAATCTCTCAGAGTTATTTCAACATTTTGCCATAAATAGCAGAACCAAACCAGCCTTTCTAACAAATCTTAAAAGTAATTCTTGCAGCTAGTGAATGAAATAGTACAACTGCTACTTTGAAAACTAGTCAGAAATGTACTTTTCCCCAAAATTCACTTAAATTTAGTTAATAATAATTTAAATTAATTTGAAATTTTGTACACTAGACATTTCACTGCATGTAAGCTATTATTGTTTCATCATGTTATGTCACTCACTACACTTGCTTATGGGACATGTATTCTATAGCAGGTAAGCCTTGAGCTAAAAACAAGTGCTGTTAACCAACAGCACTTATTCTGCTATTTTTGGATATATGATATATGTAAAATATTACCATGTGGAATAATATGTTAAAAAGATCTGGATTCTATTTAGGAAGCATACCTTTCAGAAATTTTTCTCTGGTTATTTAGTGAGGAACAAAAATAGAGACCTGTGAAAGTGTTCCCCTTTTCAGTGACTCTGTAGCAAGCCTAACATCTATTGTATTCTGGAACAAGAGCTGGCAAACCATATCAATTTTGGCTAGGGCTGCTTTATAATTATGAAGTTGAGCAATTCCTAAATACATACTGACCATTGTTTGTCAACATTTAATTTGCCTAGGAGAATTTAAATGTCACAGTCACTTAAACTGTATATGTATGCCATTTTGTAGTGCTTTCTAGAGTTTATAATGGCCATCTATTACAAGATATAGCAAAAGGGTAGCTTTAACAAACAATTTCATTGTCAGGTATATAGGGGTACATTTAATAATTTTTTTATGTATAAGGATGTCTTATACTTGGTTATCACAGTTCAAATCTCAGGTGTTACCAAAATATCTACCTCTACCCATGCTGTAAATAAAGAGAACTGAATGAAGAATGCAGTGACAAATTAATATTGGTTTATTTTTACAGCTCACATCTTTCATGAAGTTACACAATTGATGAGGCAATCTTGCTTTTCAAATATATTTTGTAGTACTCTCACTAATGTGAATCTGCTTTTATCTACTCTGTTAAGGTTAAGTAAATACTTAATGATTAATATAACAGCTTCTGTGTATTCTTTGTACTTAATGTAACTTAATGTGCTTAATGTATAATAGAAATCAAATGCAAAAATAATTGTTAAAAATAACCGATTCTTCGGGTCCTAAAACATACTTAATGTTAACAATTGAAATAAGTGGTGGTGGCAGAGACAACTCTCTAATAATCCTTTTACTGAACCAGTGTTATGTTAGCACTATCTTTTTCCTCCTTTTAAGGTAGGTAATTTTTACAGTGTAACTATTAGCAATGCTTTAAAAAAAATACAAGGACTGAGTTTCTCTCCTGTTGGCTCAATTTCAGTTATTTTTAGTTACATTTGTAACTTAGAGGTATTAGATCTCCACCTTCAAGTGTTACCACACCCTCTGTCAGACTACAGTAGTCCTCCACCACAGATTATCGTACTCCCAGATTATCATACTCCCTCCCCACTGGCAATGCTAGTTCTACGGTCAGAAATTTAGAATGTGTTACTGATATGGTAGTAACTCATCTTTCATTTTGTTCCTCTATATTTCACATGAAAGTGAGAACCTCTGCTATTTGTCTTTCTCCTTCTGAATTATCCTGTGACGTATAATCCCTTACAGTTCCATATGTTGTCACAATGGCAAGATTTTTTCATTTTATGGCTAAATTGTATTGTGTATAAGTACCACATCTTTCTGATCCACTTATTTGTTTTAGGGCACTAAGGCACTTTCTATATCTTGACTATTGTTAAAAGTGCTGCTGTGAACACAGAAATTCCTCCCACTTAAAGGTTTTTGTATTTCTCAGGTAGATATTTAGGAATAGAATTACTTACATGGTAGATTCATTTTTAATATTATGAAGATTCTATACTGTTTCCATAATGTGCTGTGCACATTCCTACCAATGTTGTACAAAAGTCCTTTTTTCTTCCAAATATTGCCTAACACATATATTACCTACAATTTCTGATTTTTTAGATAGGGGTCATTCTTAGGGATGAGAGGAGATGCTGTGCTGTGATTTTGATTTGCATTTTTATAGCCATCAGTGGTAATGAGAATTTTTTCATTTGCCTGGTGCCCATCCATATGTATTCTTTAGGGAAGTACCTATTTATTACTTTCGACCTTTCTTCTGTTGCATTCTAAGTAGGTATGGATATCAGCGCTGTGTCAGATGTATGATGTGCAAATATTTTCTCTCATTAGTACGGTGGTGTTTGCTTAGTGATAATTTCTTTAGCTTTGCAAAAAGCTTTTTTTTTTTTTAAGATTTATTCATTTATACATACAAGAACTGGGGTATTGGCCACAGGTGTGTGGTGTGAGAGCATTCACCAGAGACAGAGTGGGGAACAAAACAGGCAGACTGACTGAAATACACTGCTGAGGAGCTGTGGGGAGGGGAGCAGTGGGTGAGACAGGCAAGGTCTGCTGCGCTATGTGAGTTGCTCCCTGGCAGGCCAGGGATTGAACTTGTGTTGCAGAGACTATAGATGGTTTCATGATGCTGTGTTTAACCTCTTGTGCCACCAGGGAGGCCCTGCAGAATGGTTTTACTTTGATTTTGTTCCAATTGTTTATATTCTGTTTTCCTTGCTTTTGGGCATGGATCCACAAAGACATCTCTGAAACCTACGTTGTGAGGTGTTTTGCTTATTCTATGTATTTTATGATTGTGGCCTTAAATCTATCTTTTATATATATTGACTTGATTTTGGTGTATGCCGAGAGATAATTGTCCAGTTTTCACAAACCATTTATTGAAGATTGTCCTTGTTCCAGCATGGGTTTTTGCTTTCTTTGTCATAGAAAAGCTGTCCATGCATGCATCTGTAGGTTTATTTCGATGATTTCAATTGTATTCCATTGTTCTGATGCCTTTAATACATATTATACATGTTTGGTTATTACATCTTTATAGCATAGTTTGAAGCCTGGGAGTATGATTTCATCATTTTTCATCTTTTTTTTTTTTTTAAATAGGATGGTGGTTTGGGGTCTAAAGTGGTTTCATGTAAATTTCAGAAATTTTCCTTCTACCTAGACTATTAAATTTATTTCTCATATTTCTTCAAAATCTAGATATGATGTTTCCCCATTACCTGGAGTTGTTTTTTAGTTATGCAGTTATGGTTTGTCTTGCTTTTCTACCCTTTATGTTTTGGCTAAGTGCTTGAGTGCTCCTTTAATATTTAAACAGGCTGTTCACAATTCTACCTCAGTTTTCATATCATGCTAAACCTAAACTTTCAGGTCATCCAGTGGTGAAAGCTTCAGATCCCCTTATTTATTGTGCTGAACTCATGTGCAGGGCATATGTTGACTTTCTAGATTCCCCAGTATGCAAGTGCATTTGAGTCCACTGAGTTCTCAAAGAAAGTTTCCAATTTTTAATCCCTGGCTTCTAGCACTCTATAATTTGCTTTAGCTGAATTTTTTGTCCTCAAGTTTTTTGCTCCTGACAGTATTTTCCAGCCATACTTGTTGCTTTCATGTTCTGAGTGGGTTTTGAGTTAGGTGAGTCAGATATAAGCCACCTTGTGTCATTTCTTCAGGTAGCCCTACACAGGTTAAAATAGACAAGCCCAATGAATGCAAGTAAGTTCTGCTCTGAACTATTTGGAGCCTAAGAGCAGGATAACACACTTGAAACGTAGAGTGCTGTCTTCAACACTGCCATAAAGAGCTGGAAATGGGTTGAGGTAAAGGCAAGGGAAAATGCAACAAAGAATTCCTACCAGTTGTATATCATGTTTATCTTGATAAAACATTCATTTTATTGCTGTATGCTTACGATTATTTTTCCAAAATATTCAAAAAATTGATCTTGCTAGTTCTGTTTTTATTTTAATGATGTTTCTATAGAGGAGTGAATGTTTGGCGCTACCTACTCCATGATTTTGCTGTTGTCACTCAAAGCCTTTTTTTTAATTTTTGCCAGAGGTGTGGGGCATGAGAAGACTCACCAAAGACACAGTGGTGAGCAGAACAAGTGGTTGTACTGAAACACTGCTGAGGGAACAGCAGGTGAAACAGCAGAGGTCTGCTGTGCCCTGTGTAGGTTAGCTCCCTGGTGGGGGAACAAACTCAAGCAGTTACAGTAATAGCACTGAGATTTAACCCCTAAGCCACCAGGGGGCCTACAAAACCCTTTAATTTTAGAGCTTCCCATAGCAAGAACAAAGATTACAGTCAGGAACGTAAACTGAAGAACTTTATTTCATATTATTGTTGATAACATCTTTCACATGAAGATAATTATTTAGAAAAATTAACTCAGTAATCTCAGGAAAGTAATATTTTCTCTTTAGAGGGAGTTCAGGATATAGTGGTTCAGATGGAGTTACAGTCTTAGAAAACCAAGAATATTATAGTAGTTCTTCATAAAGTTAAATTGCTTTGTAATTCAGCAATTCCACTTTAAGATACATATTCAAAGTAATTGAAAAACAAGGACTATGATACTGTACACCAATGTCCCTAAGCAGTATTATTCACAATAGCCAAAAGATTTGTGTGTGTGTGTGTATAGAAAGAAACATTATTCAATCTTAAGAAGCAATAAAAATCTGATACTTACTTCAACATGGATGAACCATTAATATGTGATGCTAAGTGAAATGAGCCAGACACCAAAGGGGAAATACATGATTCTACTTACATGAAGTACTTAACATAGGCAAATTTTTAGATACAGGACATAGTATAGAGGTTTTCAGGAACTTAGGGGATGGATGTGCTTTGGGGAGTTACTATTTAATTGGTAGAGTTTTAGGCCTGGGGTCATGATACACAACAATATGAATGTTTTTAATGTCACCAAATCAGACATTTTAGGATGGCTAAAGCATAAATTTTATGTTAGATATTTTTTTTTAAGATTGATTTATTTATTTATACATACAAGCACTGGGTACAGTCAGAAGCGCGGGAGGGTGAGAGAATTCACCAGAGCCAGAGCGGGGAGCAGAGCAGGCAGAAGGACCAAGGTACAATGCTGAGGGGAGCAGCAGGTGGCAGGAGAGGTCCGCGCCAGGTGGGACCCTCCTCCGGTGGCCGGGAAGCAGCCGGGGATTGAACGGGTGCTGCAGAGGCTGCGGGCAGTTTCGCAACCCAGCGCTCAACCACTGCGCCACCAGGGAGGCCCTATGTTAGGTATTTTTTAAAAATCACACCTAATAGGGCCTCCCTGGTGGTGCAGGCAGTTGAGCACAGTGCTGTGAAGCTATCCGCCATGTGGGTTCATTTCTTGGCTGGCCAGGGAGATACCCACATGGTGCAGCAGACCTCTCCTGTTTTGCCTGCTGCTCCCCTCAACAGTGTATTTCAGTCAGTCTGCCTGTACTGTTGCCTGCTTTGTCTCTGGTGAATCTTCTCACCCTTCTGCACATCTGGTGGTACCCTGATTCTTGTATGCATGAGTAAATAAATATTTTAAAATATCACACATAATAAATAATAAATCATTGAGATTTTTATTGGAATAGCATTGAATCTATAAATTGCTTTTGGTAGCATGGCCATTTTAATAATGTTAATTCTGCCGATCCTTGGACAGGGGATGTCTTTGCATTTCTTTGTGTCTTCTTCTATTTCATTTAACAGTGTTTTATAATTTTCTTTGTATAGGTGCTTCACAGTTCCAAAGTCATCAGATCTGGGATGCAGTGGGTAGCCCTGTTCCGTGTGTGCAGAAATGGTGCCTTTTGCACCCTGCTTCGGTGCCTGGGTGCCCAGTTTTTGATTACTTGGTGGGGGTCATTCACATCAGTGATGGTTCCCGCTGGTCTCCTCACAAACCTAAGTCACGGGTGCAGAGATCTGGACAGCCACAATCTGTATGTGCTTATTGAGCGTACGTGTGCTTTTCCACACAAGCTTTCCAGCAGGCCTTTGGCTATTTGCAGGTCTCTCTGTGGAGTCCTTATCTTCCACTAATGGCGTTTGCTATTACCTGGTGCCATTCAATCACCTCTGTTGCAATTCCTGCACAGTTCTTC